AGTATCTAATAAATAAATATGGGGAAAAATTATTTGGCTGTTATTTATTTTCTTGGCTTTACTTCAGCCACAAGCTGTAATTGCTAAAAAATTATTGACTAGTTCTGAACAAGCCTTAGCTATACACCTGGCCCGATTGTTCAAAAGCTGTATAAAGCTATCCATTGGGTAAATCACTATCCAGTCAGGGTTAGTGATTTTTCAGGTGGATAGAGTTACTCATAGTCTGCGAGCAGGTTCTGGTATCTGTCTCTAGTGTCTAAGCAGGCTAAATAAGAGTCTAGTGTTTTTCTGCATTGGCATGTGAGAGAGTGCCTTCATGCGGCTTTGCCGCTCATGCCCCCAGCCCAAACACGAGAGCCTGCTCATAGGTTAAGTTACCCATCTTCTGTTCAACCTGGCCCTGGTGAGAGCATGGTTCTTGTCTAGATCAAATTGCTTAGAGAAGACTGGTTAGTAGCACAATAACAACAAGCTATTGTGCTGAGCTTTTGGCAGTCTTTTAGCATCTTTTAGTAACATGTGGTCCAATGAGTTAGGAAGCAAGAAGCAGATAGAAGTAAGTGTGCAACACTTCTATAAATTGTTTTAATATGATGGCCGCCAAGAATATGAAATGCTGACTTGTCACAGTATCAGTGAGGAAATAGTATTGATCTGGAATTAGTCTCGTATCTGTTGGAAAAATCAAATTTTATATTTAGATGAGCCAGGTTAGCCTTTGGACTTAGAAAGTGGAGGTGTGACTGTCAATGTACAGGGGGCTGTCACTGATGGACATCCTGTTCTCTATGACATTTTCTATCTTGTTCAGTATCTACTAGACATAAAGGATAAATTTATACCTCCAGTAAATTGCAGATCACTTATTAAACACAATGGCAACAAGAAGATCTTTTAGACCTTATAACTGTGTTTTTAAAATTTAACTGTTTTGTTAATGCTACAGCGACAACACAGTGCACATTCCAAAGCAGTCCTTGATGAGTCATTGATTACTGTAAACACATCACTTGATCAACACAAACTGTGTTATAACTTATTGTACCATNNNCAACACAGTGCACATTCCAAAGCAGTCCTTGATGAGTCATTGATTACTGTAAACACATCACTTGATCAACACAAACTGTGTTATAACTTATTGTACCATTACTCTTAGCCTTTGTGAAATCCATGATGACGCAATGCTCTTAATCTGGAAGTTCGCTCGGGGTATGCCCATGAATGATACAAAAGGAAACGAGTGTCACGCTATTAATAGACAGCTTTCTTCCTGAAAAGTCAAAATTTAATTTGTTTGTGCTCTGAAGTAGTCAAGCAAGTCACACAATCAGAGGGTTTACCCTAGCCATGGCTAGTTTTAGAACAGTTGTGTTTTTTCTCCTAGCACTACCTAAACGTTGCAAGTTCTGGCAAGCTCTTGTTTACCTCGGCAAATATTTAATTTTTCGTCAAATCTCTTGACTTGCTTCGATGAAAGAGCCAAAGAATTCACTTCATTTCCGAAACCCACAAGAATACTCACAAAATTGCAAATAAATTAATGACCATCGCTTCTGGCAAAATAAACTTGCAAAGTAAGCATGATCTTATTTGTCACGTAGTAAAAATGAAAGCTGCATTCCATGGCTGACGTAATACCCTTTTTTAGCGTTTTTAGCGTATTTATTATTTCCCTTCGAATCCAGCGCTTCGATAAAACCAAAACAAAATATATTTTGCACACAAATAAAGAAAACAATATCTGTAACATTGTCCTTGTATTAATGTTTCAACAGCTTTTGGCGAATAAACATCACAGGTTGCATGATTCAAAATTTGGCCGAGAGGAAGTTTGGGTCTGGTCACCGACAAAAAAAAATAAACCACGGGTAGAACATGAACCGCATGGTTAATTACCAGCAAGCTTATTTAGATGTTCTCAGGGTGCTTGGAATAAAATTACGCAGCATTTTACTAAGATTCTCATAATCATAGCCCTCACTAGAAATAATGGTTGCACAAATTTCAACAGATGGGGAATTTTTGTTTAAAAAAAGGTTAAGTTTGAGGTCCTTTTGACTTGGCTGCTTATGTTTTTTTCAGGCAAAAACCTAAGCAAAGCAATTTTCGAGTATTTGAAGAACTTGTTTTCTTTGATTTGTGGATTCCAGTTTTCCGGTTTCTGGATTCCGGTTTCCAGGGTTTAGGGTTGCCCCATCTTTAACAGTGTGTTTGCTTTACATTCAGTTTACACATTGCTGTTATCCAGCATAGGCAGACTTATAAGTTTGCCTTCAAAAATAAATTGCAAAAACTGTTGCATCTTTCATCACCTATTCTTGTGATGAAATGACACAAAATCCAAGTACAAGAAGTCAAAAGCATAAAACAGACTTACCCGGTAATGCTTACGATTCTGCATATGCCGTCCATAAACTGGTACTGCCTGGACAATGTACTCATTATTTTTCTGATCACACTTTTTAAAATGTCACTGTTATGCAATTTGTCCTGAAAAAGCAATACATGAAATGTTATGCCTTTGGCACTCACCAAATACCTTTACATGATGTACAATGTACACCATATCAACATTCACCATTCTTTTTACTTTCACTGTAACTTTTTTGTGTCATTTTCCCTCACTTGAAGACAGGACTTCCATATTAGGTGATAATTTGCCTGTGGAATCTCTATGAACTCACAGGGAGTGATAACAATTAAATTGTGACTAATTTTAGCAAAGGAGGCATTCAAATGTCAGATTTTAATGTTAAGTTTGTAACTTAACATTACTATT